CTTTATACGCCCCAATTTTGTCAATTTTAACTTTTTCATTTGTCCAAAACATGTGTCAGTTTTTCTTGAAACTAATTAGCTTATGATTATATAATTTCTCTCTTCTATATACGATAGTACAAATTTAACTTAATAAAGTCATATTGGAATGAAGTCTTATATAGCTCATGTCAAGCTTGGGTTTGCTATATTCTTATATGGAAATTGTTTTGGATGAGAGTAAACAAGATTTATAATTCCAAAAAAAAAATCCAAACTATGTTAATGGTAGTAAATACGGACGATGTGGTCATGTTAATGCCAAATACTACAATCATTTGACGATAATTATATTACTCCAAAATGACGGTAAAATATCGGCGTGTTACTCCTGTTTGGGGAATCAAACATAGCAATCCTATTGTGCTATTCCAATTTCCAAACATGTTTACTCCAGATCTTTCCCTTCTTATATTTTGTGTTGAGACTCTTCAAAATTGGATTGAGTCTTTTCTTATCATAATGATCACTTAGGATGTTTTCTTTTGGACTGAAATTTGCTGGTCTGGTCTGATATGGTCTGGTCTGGTAGACGTTTGGTCTCTGTGTATTTTATAACTACGGAAGTCTGGTCTGAACTGGTCTGGTCTGGTCTGGTCTGGGACTGAAAACAGTCCAAAAGAAAACATCCTTAATAGCGCAAGCTCATTATATTTGTACCTCATTTTAAATGCACGGATGCCGGTCACCTTGGATATTTTACAATTAACGCCAACAACAACCGTACTCCTTGAAATGACTATACATTTAATACAATAATTGAAATCTATAATCGAGACCATCATTAACAATTGCTAAAATAAATACTCGTAAATAAATGAAACCAGAAGAGAAAAATAGAAGTAACTTCATCGACCATAAATAAATGGAGGAAGGTAGATAGATATTAAAAGAGAGATTCGTCTAAATAGGACTAAAACAAGGTAGAATTGTAAAAATAAGACTGCTATGTTTTATTTAGCAAAAATAGGACTAAAAAGAGGTAATCTGACAAAACTGCCCTTAATTAAAAAAAAAAGCCCCTGCAATTCACCGCATCACTCCAGCCGACAGACCAACATCGATCAGATGCAGATGCCCACGCCATCTGCGATGAACAACGATTTGCGATGAAGGCCAGCAACAATTTGCGATGAAGATGCCAAGGCTGCTTGCCTGCTCTTCTCCAAGACATCCAGGTAATTTTCTCCAAATCTTCTCCTCTCCCATCTCTTCTCCTCTTCTCTCTTCTCTCTTCTTCTTCCTCCTCTTTTCTTTTTTATCTTCTCGTTCACATCCTCTTCAAACTGGGTCCTCTGTTTTCTTTTTCTTTAGATTTCAATTGTTTATTTGTTTATTAATTTTGATTAATTTGGAACCTCAAAATGCCATAAATTACTAGCAATTAGAAAAATGTCAATTTTATGCCATTACATTTATCATGATGACAGTATGCCATGAAACTGACATTGTTACTAAAAAAACTGACATTTTAAATATGTCATCTTTGTTTCGAAAATGTCATGTGAATGGCATTATTACTCTTTGAATATGTCATTTTCTTCTTGAACTCTCACCTTGGCAAATGTAATGTCATAAAAGTGACATTATTACAAATAAGTAACATCAATTATGGCATTTATCTAAATTTTTTAAATTTCAGGGTAAAACTGTCATCTTCATAAATGCAATGTCATAAAATTGACAGTTTTCAAATTACTGATAATTTTATGGCATTCTCGATTCCTTCTTTATGAATAAAATTGAAATCAAAAGAACAAGATAACAGAATACCAGTAAATTGTAGAGGTTGAGAAGAAGGAGGAGAAAAGAAGAAGAGAAAGAAGAAGAGAAGAAGAGGAAGGAGGAGGAGGAAAAAGAAAAGAGGGTTACCTGGCCGGCAGATTATGGCAGATTGGGGAAGAAGATCGCAGAGCGACGATGTGAGGATCGATGAATTGCAGCGGAACCGGGGTTTTAATTGTAGAAGAGTAAGATTGTAATCTGGAGTCCCATTTAAGCAATTTAAAACTTGAAGTCCTATTTTGGAGTTTTAACCATGTTTTAGTCCCATTTAGGATAATTTCTTATATTAAAATAGAAAAACTGGCTATTGTTGACTTTTGAGAATAGTTGCGAGGAACTACTTATGAGAGAGACAAATATAATTGTTTTGCATTAAGGTTATATTAAATTATAAAGGTCTAGCTCGAATGTAAAATAAGGTTGACTAGTTAAACCCAGATAATTCAATCGCAACTAAATTAGCTAGACTGCCTTGTTAAATCTGGCCGGACAAGCAAATAAATTTAAGGATTTTTTTTAAATAGAATCAAAACAATGTCATTTTTCCCATATAAAAAATACTCCTTAAGACTTTATATTTGTGGTTGACCAAAACGCCCTCATAGGATTGGAGCACTACGGCCCCCAGGCCCCGAGACATCGGTCATCAGTCATCACTGTCGCTATCAGAGTTCACTGCCGCAATCAACGTATTGACATTGATTATGCAAGAGAACTAGATGACAAGTAATTAAAGTAATTAATTATATTAGGCAAAGACATGTAACATTTATTTTTATTTATAGAAAATAAATATACACCGTATGAATTTTTTTCCTGAAAAAATAGATACTCCAACCAGGGGGAGCCAAGCGGGGGTTAGAGTGGTCACCCGACCCCCATGAAAGTTTCAGAGTATAGAGCTCAGAAATACCTTCAATTTGATATATTATTGCTCTCGAAACTCATTATGAGTAAAAAGGTATGACTTTTGGAAAATCAACAACTAACTAACCTTACAAAGAGTAAAATTTGTTGCGTAATATTGCTTGTATTTTCAAAGTGGGCCTATATGTTACTGCTACGAATGCGTATTCAATAACCGATTCTTTTCTGAGCAAAAATCTTGATATTAAGTAGGGTGAGACAAGAACTATAGAATTCTTGGGTAAAGCAAAAAACAATCCGATCCATACAATCACCGGTGCGGAAACCCTTCGACTAAAGACATACTCCGTATAAAATTAAATTATAATGTATATGACATGTATATTAAATCTATATCTTTGTTAGTCTTATTTAAACTACTACATAGCATTAATTTTAGTTATAAATGAAACATTCCATTCGAGTATAGTTTAAAAAGGATTCACCATTTTCTTTTTGCATATTGTTGGGTTTCCATCCCCTAAGTCATTTTTGTGCCATATATATATTTTAGACGTAGCACTAGCAGAAGTTTCCTCACAACTTTACTCGACCAAACACCTAATAAATTTAAAATTGAATTAACTAACAATGAAAATAAGAAAGAAAAACTTTAATGGATGTTTTGACGGTGCAAACCCAATTGAAAACGAGACCTTAAAAAATACGAAAATGCTTAGTGTACATGAGTTGTACACAAGTTGTACACAAACTCCCTAGTTGTGTGTACACAGGCAATTCATTTAAAAAGGGCAGCACTTGATGTCAAATTGTCGGTATACACTAATACACAGACAATGTACACATTTTGTGTATAACTTGTGTACATGAAAATGATTCTAAAAAATATAGAGAGGCAACGTTATCGGTCCAAAATCTGGTGTCAAATTGTTGTGTCGGATAGGGACCTGAAATGCACACGGGAGGGTGGACCACTTTTGGACTGGGTCAAAACAATTTCAACCCATGAACCGTCCAATTAGAATAGCCTACCAACCGGACTCTCTCTTGGGTTGACCCGCTTCTTGTACAAACGTGCACGGTCCATTCATGATTCACCAATGACGTATTTCATTGTCTTCCAATCCTTTCACATGATAGGAAGAAGGTCAGGGTATAACAAGGAAGAGATCTCTCAAATACTTTAAATAAAATTCAATTTTCTTTCTATGAGTATATGATCAAGCTCAATTTAGGGAGTGTTTGCAACTGCTTAAAAAAAAGCACTTCTCAGCTTTTGGCTTTAAAAAGCACTTATTTACCAAACACTACCAATTTTTACTTTTTCTCGGCTTGCGTGTGAAAAGTGCTTTTCCCTTTTCTATTACACAAAAAGCACTTATTTTACCAAACACTACCAACTTTTACTTTTCAAAATCACTTTTTTCTCAAACACTATCAACTTTTACTACCAATCACTTTTTCATTACTTCTCCAAAAGTGCTTTTTTTTAAGCAGAAGCAGTTGCAAACACTCCCTTACAACTTCTCAAATTACTATCCAGTCGATTTTGTATACCCTTAGGATGTTTTTCATCCTCTTTTTGCGAGAGAACGGGGCTACCTGTTGAAGGAAACATGTGAAAGAAATAAGTGTTATATTAAGATCTGGATTACTCCTCCTATTAGGTTGACCTTTTAAGATGAAACTCGGATCTTAACATGGTATCAGAGGCAAACTGATCCATGATGTAGGCCTCTTATGAAATACGACGACGTGATTATAAAAAAATGACAATGACAAATCGATGAAAAAATGAATGACGGCACGATCCACACCAAAAACGTGCGAAGGAATTAAATACTACCACACTCGAATTATCGAATACATTTAAGCATTAATACATCGTGATTTTATATATGTTAAACTTTCTATGTTATAATTAATCATGTAAATATTAACTTATAGAACAAATTATTTTCAATCAATATGATGGATGATTTGTTTGATAATACATATTTTATATAGTTTATCAATTTTGATAAATTTATGTGCCTCTTTTTCATAGCTCAAATAAATGCAATTCTTACATTGTTAAATTTGTTGCTTCAAAGTGTTGTATGCACGGTTAGTCATAATTACGATAAATTTCACGCATTTTTAAACCATTGATGGTTAATGCACATGTTTGAATATCATATCACGAAAGGGTTGGTGTATTAAATCCAGAAAATGATTGTAGCAGTCGGTAGATAGCATATTGTAATTGGATGTAGGATGCACGTATTACATGAAGAAGTAAAGGAAGGATGTAAAACTGATTGTATATTATTGAGATACGTACATGTGTTTATATAGGCATACAATGGAAGAGATTTAGAGATAATATCTAATAACTAACTCTGCACAGGCTATGGGATAATCATCATAACCATATGTGATAATAGGCTAACCGTATGGGATAAGTACAAGTAATAAATACATGATAATATTTACTAATATTATGCTTCAATACGCCCCCCGCAAGATAGAGGATCCGTTGGATACTCCTAGCTTGGATCGGAAAAATTGAAATGGTGTCTTGCTAAGTGGTTTGGTTAGAATATCAGCAATTTGTTGCTTTGTAGAGATATGTTTGACCACCAATTGTCCACTTTCAACTAGTTCCCGAACAAAAAAGAAGTCTAATGCAAGATGCTTCATCCGGGAGTGAAACACAGGATTAATGCATGCATAAGTAGCTCCTTGGTTATCACAAAAGAGCTGGGGCGTGGATACTAATGAAATTCCCAACTCGGTGAGCAGATTTCGTACCCATAGCATTTCCGCACTTGCATTTGCAACAGCCTTGTATTCAGCTTCAGTAGAGGACCTGGACACTGTTTTTTGTTTGGCTGACTTCCAAGAAATAATGTTACCTCCAGAGTAAAGTACATAAGCTGTAGTAGATTTCCCCCCATCGGTCACACCACCCCAATCGGAATCTGAGAAGACCGAGAGGGTTAGAGGTGATGAGCGACGAAGAAATAATCCATGGTCCAACGTACCTTTGAGATATCGCAGTATACGTTTGACGCCTTGCCAATGAGTCTCGGTCGGTGCATGCATAAACTGAGATAGCCGATTTACGGCAAATGAAATGTCCGGCCGTGTAAAGGATAAATATTGGAGAAGACCAAGCGTGCGGCGGTATTGTGTAGCATCAGCAGGTGATGTACCATCTGTGAGGGAAAGTGAAGACTTGGTGCACATCGGGGTGGTTGCCTCCTTGGCGCCATGCATTTTACATGATTCCAGAATGTGAAGTATGTATTGACGTTGGGTCAAGAAAATGCCAGTGGGAGTGGGAACCACTTCAATCCCAAGAAAGTGATGTAACATGCCCAAATCTTTGACCGAGAACTTGTGGGTAAGTTGACGAACAAATTCCTCAACTGCTTTAGCATTATTCCCGGTAAGAACAATGTCATCAACATATACAAGAAAATAGATGAGTGTGCCATGGGAGGAGTAAATAAATAATGAGGCATCTGCACGAGATTTTTGAAAGCCCACAGAGATAAGAAACCGGCACAACTCAATATACCAAGCACGTGGGGCCTGTTTGAGCCCATAGAGTGCCTTACGTAGTTTGCAAACATGTGTGGGAAACTGCGGATCTCGAAAACCAGGTGGCTGAACCATATACACCTCCTCCGTGAGTGTCCCATGCAAAAAGGCATTATTGACGTCCAGTTGCCAGAGAGACCAATTTCGGGCCAGTGCAATAGATAGGACGATGCGTATTGTAGCCGGTTTGGTTACAGGACTGAACGTTTCTGAATAGTCATGACCAGGTTGTTGTAAAAAACCGCGAGCCACAAACCTTGCTTTAAACCGAGAGATGCTACCGTCGGCATTTCTCTTAATCCGGAAGAGCCACTTACATGTTATAGGAGTTTGGTTGGTCGGAGGAACCAGAGTCCATGTATTATTCCGGCTGAGAGCTTGCATTTCGTCCTGCATGGCAGCAGCCCACCTCGGATCAGTTAACGCCTGTTTCACACTCGTTGGTTCAAGTGCATGTGGAATAGGATGGGTGGTGGTATGGTTTAAGTAGGGTCCGCCAATATACTTGGGATTGGGGACTCGGTGGCGAGTGGGTCTGTGAGCTATAATTGTGGTGGATGCAATTTATACGGTACAGCCGGCTGTACCTAGAGCATGGTACAACCGGGTTTTTTTGTAATTAGATACAAGTTTTTGGTTTAGAATTAGGTTAATGGTTGCTGATGGTTTTGTTTTTCCGTCGACCTATTCCTTCCGCGCCAGAGTCCTTCCGTTGGTTACTTGATTGACTTTACTTTTTTTTTTCTCTTTTGTTTTGTTCGTTACTTTTCTCTTTCTTTCTTTCTTTGCTTTTCAGTTTTTCGTTGCTTTTCAGTTTTGCTTTAGTTGTTTTCTTTTTCAGTTCTTTTTTTTCTCTTTAACATGACTTAACTTTTTATTCAATTATCATTAAAATTTATAATATAAAATATTATTTAATGTTTGACTTTGTTTCATCTTCTTTTTTCAATCAACCTCCTAACTTAAGTTTTTTTTTAATTTGCGCATTATAAAATATTTTAGTTATTAATGTTTTAATTGTTCTTCTATTTTTAATTTTTAGATGACTATTTGTTAGTTTATTAAATATTATGTGTTAATTACTAACATGAGTTTTGTGTAATTACTAACATATCAATGCTCATCTTGTAAGTTACATATGCTCATTTGTGTAGGTCCGAAGCTCATTAAAAATTCATTAATGCTCATTTAATACAAATCATTATTTTCATCTCAATATAGGAGGTTTGATGCTCAATGAAAATATTGTGATGTCCAATTACGCTACACATGCTCATTTGGTACTAATTTTATGCTCATATGTAAAATGGCATACCAATGCGTGTGTAAAATGTTCAACGAACAAAACTTACAATTTTCATATCGATGCTCATCTTGTAAGTTACATATGCTCATTTGTATAGGTCGAATCCTCATTAATGCTCATTTTACAGAAATCGTGATTTTCATCAATCTCAATAGAGGATGTTTGATGCTCAATGAAAATGTCGTGATGTTCAAATAACAAAGCAGCTAACAAATTCATTAATACTCACTTTGTAAGTTACGTATGCTCATCTGGTAGAAATCTTATGCTCATTTTCTAAATGTCATATCGATGCATTTTTTAAAGTACTATTTTACATTAATTCACATATTGAAATTCACAGGAGTTGATTATAAATATAGTTTAACAAGATTTTATAAAAGAAAAAATAACAAAAAGAAAGTGAATTAGAAGTTATGAAGCGGAGATCACGATTCTCAATATTAAACTCCTAATACTCAATAGAATGAGTACGATGCTCATTAAACGTTTATTATTGCTCATTCGCTAGAAACCGTGAATTTCATCTCAATAGCGGATGTTTGATGCTCAAATATTAAATGTGAATACATAACGCGTGAAATGAGTATAAAAAAGTTCAAAATGAGCATTACGCCAATATGCATGGATATGACATTTAAGTTGTCTCGTGTAGTGCTCATTTTAAAACGAACATTACACCAACATCAAATGAGCATAGCTAATTTACTAAATGAGCATAGAAAAATTTTAAAAGCTCATTTAAAATCTCGAGTATGCTTAAATATCAATTTGTGTATTCAGTATGCTCAACAGAATATGTCTGTTGCTCATTAAAAGTTCATTATTACTCATTCTCCAGAAGTCGTGATTTTCATCTCAATAGTGGAGGTTGGATGCTCAATTAAAATGTCATGATGTTCAACTAACAAACCTTACGATTTTCATATCAATGTGCACTTTGTAAGTTATGTATGATGCTCATTTGGTACTCATGTTATGCTCATTTTTACAATGTCATATCAATGAGATGAAAAAATCACAGTTTCTATTGAGATGAAAATCACAATTTCTGTTAAATGAGCATTAATGAACTTTTAATGTTCATCAGACCTATTATGAGCATTAAAACACTTTTGATGAGCATCAGGCTTATTAGGAACCTAACACTATATAAAAAAAGTATAAATATATTTATATAAAGTAATAGTATGATTCATAGATCAAATAAATACTTCAAAAATATGAATTAGTCTTTTAATATAGTAATAATGAGCAAAAACAAAAAAATAGTTAATATTATAATTACTATTAATAATAGGCAGTATGAAACTATATAGGACAAGTAAGATAAAAGAACTAATTATCTCAACAAGACAAGTCAGTCAGATGGTTGGAAGGCCGCATACCCTACTTCAGGTCTGGGGATCGGATCCCGCTGGGGATTTTAATTTTTTTAGTGAAGGAATTCAGTTCCCTATGGTCGCGATTCGCTGGAACAAGATGTAAGCCCACCAGTCAAATTTAATAATTGGGCCGGATGTACGTACACCCGGGTGTACGATATAGGGACTCTGGATGGAGTAGTATGGGAGTGGGGACTCGGTGGCGAGTGGGTCTGTTAGCTATAATAATAATAATAATAATAATAATAATAATAATAATAATAATAATAATAATAATAATAATAATAATAATAATAATAATAATAATAATAATAATAATAATAATAATAATAATAATAATAATAATAATAATAATAATAATAATAATAATAATAATAATAATAATAATAATAATAATAATAATAATAATAATAATAATAATAATAATAAATGAAAACGGCTTAACAGATCATCACAATGAATACACATAATTGATCATACAAGAATATATCTTAATTATACGGGGGTATAAAATACATTGTAGCATATTGACGTAGATGCATGTATTAATTCACATTAAACGTAAAACAACTAGATCACATCATACTTCAAAAATCAATCCAAATGGACGCGTCTGGGAAGAACTTTGTCCCCATAAACATATAGATTTGAGACGAACTAAAATGGTAATCTTAATCGTTTGCCTATACAATATATAGCCAGTACATGGACACCTCGTATGCCTAAAAAAATGCACAATGGATGAAGAGATCTATGAAACCTACCTATGGTGGAATGAAGTTCAGTGTATGTAACTTATTTTTTCTTCAAATTTTTAGTGTAAATTTATTCATTTTTTAGATTCAGTCTACTCCGCTAATGTTTAAGTCTAACATAATTGTTTTTCAGTCCAGTACATAATTCATGGAACGGTTCTTAATGAAATTTAAATATAGTCTCGTCTCAAATGACCTGATTATTAATTTTAATTTTAAATTCGGGCTGGTTTAATTTGACAAGTCTAATCAGGTATTTAGGCCTCAGCTCATCTAATTTGGTTTTGAATTATTGAATAGAAACTATTACCATTGAACACATCCTTATAAATGTCGTAGCTATCTTTTGGACATGTCAAAAAAGCTAACAACATCAACAAAAGTATAAAAATAATCACATAAAAAATCTGAAAATCTTAATCTACTTTTCATATGAAGCTAAACATCTTAATCAGACTTAATGGTCAACAATGTACCTTAACCAAAGTTGACATGAAGTAAGCGGAGGAAATCGCATCCATCATAAGCAGAGCGCCGCCCGCGGGCCATACTGATTCTCCAACTTGCTATTTTGGTACCCAGTCGCTCTCGTCGGGTACCCGATTCATGTTTTCTTTTTCGGGCAAAAAAAGAAAAAACAAATAAACAAAGAGTACGACAAGGTACTACGGAGAATTTAATGTCTTCCATCCTGGAGGAGTGTGATGGTTAACGAATTACTATCGTATTTAATTTCTAGGTCGTCTCTCGTTTCGATTTATTGCTCGGGATAAAATTATGATGCAGAAATTGATATATGTGGATTTTCTGGGATTTAAATAAATTAAAGTAAGTTTCTGAGAATGTACTACTGGTTACTGGGGCTGTCTGGGCTACTGAATATGACGAGCACGAACTTGATGATATTGGGATGGGGGAGATGAACGTATTGCCACCTCTCATTGTCTCAAAAATATATATACAAAACCTGAATCGGCAGAAATAAGAATCAAGATAGTGAATAAACAAGGGTAAACGAGTTTTCGAATTTCAAAATGGAATTGGAATAATGTATAGTATTCTCTTTGAAGTAGAGGAGTGCCCTTATAGATATGCAACGTATGTGTGAACGTACACTCTAATTCATGATGATGTGTTTGACATTTGGCAGATAGCGGATTATGTTATTGATTTGATAATAGTGGATTTCATCGGTTCGACTATTAGAATAAGTTGACGGGTTGTAAAAAATGTTTGATAATTTAGATGTATGATTTGTCATAGCAATTAGTAGGAAATCGTCTATTTCGTAAACACTAACCCAAAACGTTGCTATTCGCATATTTATTTTGACGATTCCGTTCAAAAATGATAGAGTCGAACAACTATTTACCAAACATCGTTTTCACTTATATATTCAAAATATTAAAAAAGTTCAAATTGTTATTTTTAGTTGATACACCATTTTCCATACCTCTGAGAACATCTTCAATGCTACAGTTACACAGTACACTGTACACATGCTATAATTTTTCCATTATTTGAATATCCACTATTATTGTCTCATACCATACTTCGTAACATTTGTGTGGTTCTAATTCATTCTTACTTTATTCTCACTTTATCAACTCATTATCAGCCACATAATTATATTTTACTTTCCTTAAAAACCACATCACTCACTTTCGTCCAATTAGGGAGAGGACATTAGCGGACCCAAAAGGGGGCAAATAGGAGCCGCCGACCCTCCAATTTTTCTCTCTAGGTATATTACCCCGAATATCTTTATATATATATATAAGGTAAGGTTCAAGTGAGAAGAACCCTTTGGGTGAGAAATGAGAATGAATCTCAGCCATTGGATTCGACTAAGTTGCAGTAAAAGACACTTCATGATGCACTGAAATATGCAATCTAGCACGGTGGCATTTCTGTAAATACTTCTGAAAAATCCGTATTACACGTGTCTAGTGCAACATGAAGCTATTTCGGTGCAACGCCGTCAAATATTAGTGCAACATGAAACAGCTTTTGTGCAACATGTGCAAAATTTAAATATTACTGCAACATAAAGCCAATTTTAGTGCAACTTCGTAAATCCAATGGCTGAGATTCATTCTCATTTCTCACATTAGATGCATTTCTCACCTGAACCAAAATCTATATATATATACACACACACACACACATACATACATACATACACGTGTGTTTGTATTTTTTTTATACCACCCCCTTCGTACTGGGAAATCCTTTGTCCGTTGTTGATCGAGATAGTAAAATTTATGTGACTATCTCGCATGTCACATGTGCACCGTGCACATTGTAGCATTAGAAGATGTTCCTAATCCATCGCTTGTGATCAGGCCCTATCACTTGTTTTTAAAACTAGTCAGACCTTATACATTGTACCCATACTAAGTAGAATTCATTATCATTTATATTCATAAATGTTACATATATAATTATATACTACCTCCGTAAACTTTTAGTTGCAACATTGGACTTTTTTACTACATTTTATTAATTGATGTATTATAAATTAAATTTTTAAAAAATATTGTTAAATTCTTCTCATTCTATATTTTCAAAATATAAAAATTTTAAGTTTTTTAGTAATACGAAATGAAAGTTATTAATGGTCAAACTTGTGCGTTGTCAAACGTGAAATGTTGACTGTTGCAATTAAAAAGGAACGGAGGAAGTATATACTACGTATTATAATTAAAATATCATCAAACATTCAAACCTGATATATAGCACCTTCAATTCATTATCATCCCTGTGAGTTTCAAATCTTTCAAAGAATAATTTATATGACATTCCTGTTGCACAGTGGCGGACCCACTTAGGGTCCCACGGGGTCCCGGGACCCCGTGGACCTCCAAAACAATACCTATATATATTTATATATTTGTTATATAAAATAAACTACTTATTGTATATATACAAGAAAACACTGAATTACTACACAAAGGTTGAAGTAGTGGACTGGGAGCAAGTTTGAGCTAGAGGCACTACCTCTTGCGGAGGTGTAGGGAACGATTCCCCACGGTGTCTACTTTTTGCAACAAGAGATTTTAGACCCTCTTGTCATTATATGAATGGAAACCTACTACCCATAGTATAATTGTAACAATACACAAACTTAACATATCTTTTTATTTAAAGTAAGATTAAATTACTTTGCTATTGAATAAATTTATAGAAAGGGCTGAAAATATTTGGTGCGGCCAATTAAAATATGTGTAAAACATTCAGACATTAAGTCTAAATAAACATTTAACCAAATGTGCGCCTTTATTCAAGAAAAATAAAGTTTATACGTAGTATTACATTTGTAAAAATAAGACAAGATTAAATTATCTTGAACTTTTAAAAGAATATTTTTCAAAATTCCAAATATAGAATATCGGTGTCACATGAAAGATCAAACAAATTATTTACTTTGATATATTTTTTTACAAAACAGAGCACACATAAAAAGGTGTAATATTTTTAATAAAAAATAGTTAGCCACATGTAATATCTTTCATTATGTACTTCAAAAAATGTACATTAATTATGGAACATTATGCTACTTTAATATTTTACTTCTTTTTTATTAATTATTTTTATTGATTAGAGTTACATTAGAGTAGGGACCCCGTGGCTCTGATTTTCTGGGTCCGCCACTGCTGTTGCAGATCGATGCTTTAACAATCTAGATTCTTTGTACGCAATATTTCAGATGTGAACATATTTGCTACTTTAATTTGTCAATATATGAGGACAAATGTTCACTTGCCCTTTATTTTTCTAATTGAAAATAACATGAAATAATACGTGTCGTTGTGTCAAAACCACCTTAGTACAAACTTAATATAGTTGTCGATCATTGACAAAGAAGTATCATCCTCTAAACAATGAAAGAGGCCAAGCTAGAAAGAAGAAATAATAACTACCAGGGGAGGATCTATGTACAGGCTATGGTAGGCTGAAGCCCATGACAACTTAGAAAATTTTCAATTTTTTTAGTGTAAATTTTTTCATTTTTCACAATTAGCCCACCCCGCTGAAATTTGACCCTAGTATAATTCCTATTCAGCCCAGTGCGTCTCAGATTCCTGGATCCGCCCCTGATAACTACGAAAGTACGTGGCTCTACATTGAATTAATTAAAACTTAATTCATATTTTTCAAATATAAGGTTATGTATAATTTATTCCTTAACAAGGATTTATATATTTCTTAGCTTGAAAAAGCGTAAAAATTTAGTCAAAAGTGTAAATTAATCCAACAAGTTGCTCAATGTATTTTTATTAAATTAATATACAAGTATCTAAATTAAAAATATACCCAATTGGCCAATTCTATCTATATTTTATTGCACCCTCACATTGTGAGGGAGACCGGAACCCGGACCGGACCGGATGGATCAGCCCGGAACCCGGCGAACTGGGCCTTAATCCGGCCCAGTTGTGTACTAACCTGTTAACCGAGATCAAAACCAGAAATACCCAGAAACCCGGACCCAACCATGTATGCCACAAACCGGAAAACACGGTACTAGGGGTGGGTTCGGTTAGTTCTTGCGGTTCGGTTTTGACCTAAAACCAAATATAGAATCGAAGTAAAAAGTTCGGTTCGATTTCAGTTCGGTTATACACTCCAAAACTTGGAACCACGGTTTGATTGGTTCGGTTTGTTTCGATTCGGTTTCGGTTTTTTCGGTTTTTTTACCAAAAAATTATCACTTGATTTAAAACTGATTTAACAAATACTTAGAGGGATCAAACATATTACATAACGAATGCAAGCATAATACAACAACAAATAAAATAAAACTGAGAAGAGATAAACATGTCTTGAATTATATGAGTATGCGAGATAGATAAAACTATATATATTATTGATTTAATTTGTTTGTGACTAGTTCGAAAAAAGTTTATGAATATATACGTTTTATGTGATATAGTTGAAATTTGACACGAAATTTGGCACAGAATTTGGCACAAAATTATCGATTTGAGATATCAAGAGCACTTGAGATACTCTATTTTTTGTGATCTTCCTATGATTAAAACTCTACGTCGCGGTTCGGTCCAAATAGCTCGTGCCAAGTGTTTTTGGCACGGATTTGACCTAATCCCTGCCAAAATCCTTGTCAATCCCGTATTTTTTTGTAGTGATATTAGTCCAATAACAAATTAATGGAAGTATTTAAATTACAAAGATAACCTTAGCATGGCTATTATCAATCAAAAGTATTCTACTGAGAGAGGGTTTGACATTAGTTTTTGTGTCTAGAGTTTATCAATACCTATTTGGGATTTAGTAGAACTAACGGGTGGCTACGATGCGGCAGGTGACTATCCTCCAATGGTGAATGAAAAAGGTGAGCTATCAATTGAATGGCTAATCAACTCAAAATTATAATCATGTCTAATTACTTATGAATAATAAATTAAAATGAAAGAGATTGATGATCAATACTCAATAGTGATCAAAGTATGTTTAGAATATTGACTAAAAATTTCTTTAACTTATACAGAGTAATTTATTTATAATCAAACCGATAACATTATATTAATAAATCATTAGCCATAAGGCTACAAATACAATCAGGCATATCAACGTAATCCACACACTGATCTGAGATGACAACATGTGCCCGAGCAAGAGCATGGGCAACATGATTCGCAGATCGTTTACAAAAACAGATGTCAAAATTGCTCTCTGTTTCCAACATTTTCCTAATATCATCAAAAATTAAATTAACATAAGTTGAGCTCTTCGTCTTAGATATTCCATGCACAACAATGAGAGCATCGGTCTCAATCATCACATTCCGCCATCCTGCCTCCTTTGCATGAATTATAGCATTCCGAACACCCATGGCCTCTGTCTCTTCAACAGTCTATTCCGCTGAAACTGAAACCCCCGAGCCTTAATAAAAGCTCATTCCGCATTCCGGACAACCCAGGCCAGCCCCATGAGCGAATTCCTCCTCCATCATTGACAGCTCCATCAACATTGATTTTAAGATAATCCCCGATCGGCCTTTGCCATCTTCCTCCTTCTTCA